TTATTATTAATTTTAGGAAAAAAAGTTATTTTTCATAAAAAGTTCTGCATGATGTAAAACTTAAAATGCAACCCACAAATATAAATTTTTTTTAGTCGTATACGGGGTATGTCAAAAAATATGAATTTGGCTCAAGAGTAAAGTACCTTTATATTTGAAAATATTGAAAATTGTTATAAAGAAAAGTTAATCAGAACTAAAAACTACGTTCAAATATGCAATTACATCCATTTACATTAAAAAAATATATTTTTTCTTTTTTGTCTACAATATCAATGCAAATTTACATGTAATCTTGGATTCACTGATAAACAAATGATTTGTTGCACAGACCTACAAACAAAATGGACTGGCCTTTCCTATTCAAAATACACAATGTTTTGTTGCCAAGAACTATTTAGATTAGGGGTAAAGGGGTAAGGGGTATTTATAAACAAGTTCCCACACCAGTGGCGTTCTGTTTTTAGGGATAAATAAAAATATTAAATTGTACATTTTTTATTGTGTTTTGCAATCCTATGTAAAAATTATATTTAATATATATAAATATATAGGTATAACAAAATACTAACCTTGTCAGTTAGTGTTCCAGATGATGTAGAATCTGGCTCTTTAAATCTAAAATTTAAGTGAATTCATTTATTTATTCAGTTTCTACGCTCCTGGCAGGGTTTGTTTTGTAAATAAACTAACCTATGAAAAGAAAGTTTTAAATTCTTGGATCCAAGTCTTTTACAAAAGTAGCACTGCTTCACCATTTTTATATCACTCACTATTGGTATTTTTCACTATAAAATCAAATAAAAAATATTAAATGTTGTGGATTCCAAGTATCTTTTACGTAAAATATAGAAACTTCAAAGTCAAATGTGACAACTGAGGGAAAATATTTATTTTTGTTCCTGGCCACTCTTTTCAATGTAAATAAACCGGTCCATCTTGTTTGTAGGTCTGTGATTTGTTGATATTCTAATACTTTTTGGCCTGCCAGATCCCCTGACTTAACTTAAGGTTTTCATGTTTTTTCTAATCATAGCAGATAAATGTTCATTTAAAATAGAAAGATTAGTAAAACTTAACAAAACCAAATTTTTTAATGTAAATGTATGAAATTGCATATTTAAACGTAGTTTTTAGTTCTGATTATTTTTTCTTTATAACAATTTTCGATATTATCAAATATAAAGGTACTTTACTCTTGCGCCAAATTCATATTTTTTGACATACCTCGTATACGACTAAAAAAAAATAATATTTGTGGGTTGCATTTTAAGTTTTACACCATGCAGAACTTTTTATAAAGAATAACTTTTTTTCCTAAAATTAATAATAAAAAAGTTTTCCATATGATTCCAAGATACTGAGACATACTGTATATTAGGGTGTCCCAAAAAAAAAAGAATATATTTTTTTTTCTTGTCTCTTGTAAAAATATGTTAGTTTATCATGCTGTAAGAGCCCTTTCAAAATATCAGCTCGATTAAAAATTTTGTAGGGGTCGCTCAAGATTTTTAAAAATTTTCAAAATCGTTAAAAATTGAATTTTTGTTTTATTTTAATTCTTTTTCTCGTCTCGATATTATTTTTTAGGTTGAAAATAATAAAAATTCTGTAAATTTCAAATCAATATTTTGATTTCTAAAGGTCGCTAAAAGTTCGTTGATATTTATATTCAGAGGTCGCTCGAAAACATTCAAAATACTCTACTTTGAAAGTTAAAAAAATCTTGAGCGACCTTTAGAAATTAAAATATCGATTTGAAATTTTCAGAATCAATATTATTTTTAAATTAATTAGCCCTTTCAAAATATCAGCTCGATTAAAAATTTTGTAGGGGTCGCTCAAGATTTTTAAAAATTTTCAAAATCGTTAAAAATAGAATTTTTGTTTTATTTTAATTCTTTTTCTCGTCTCGATATTATTTTTTAGGTTGAAAATAATAAAAATTCTGTAAATTTCAAATCAATATTTTGATTTCTAAAGGTCGCTAAAAGTTCGTTGATATTTATATTCAGAGGTCGCTCGAAAACATTCAAAATACTCTACTTTGAAAGTTAAAAAAATCTTGAGCGACCTTTAGAAATTAAAATATCGATTTGAAATTTTCAGAATCATTATTATTTTTAAATTAAAAAATAATATCGGAACGAGAAAAAAAATTAAAATAAAAAAATCCAATTTTTGACGATTTTGGTAATTTTTAAAAATCTTGAGCGACCCCTAAAAATTTTTTAATGGTGCTGATCTTTTGACAGGGCTCTTAAAACATGACAAACCAACATATTTTCACAAGAGACGAGAAGAAGAAAAATATTCTTTTTTTTTGGGACACCCTAATATATATAGACTAACTGGAACTTAACCAAAGATTGATAAACCGGCCCTGAGCTACGTAAATAATTTAAGTTTAATATAAAAACGCTCGAGAAAATTTATGATATATCCATTTTCGATTTTAACTCTAGATCCAGGGTCAGAGTGTATTAACACTTAAGATAACCGCACGATCATAATTACATTTATTTTAGTTTAATGTTGTATATCATAGTGATGAGCAAAAAGCAAGCAAGCAATTATAGAAATTTAAATATTTAGTCGTGTTTTAAGTTAAAAACTTCTTTACACACGTCAGGTCGAACTAGCCCGAACTAATTAATTAAAAGCTCGATCATCTCTATTCGATAAGTTTTTATTTACAATAAACAATTTTAATGGTCGATTATCATATTCAATCGCATTTAAAAACGACGCATCTGCTAATGATCCAACTGGGGTCATTAATAATTTAACTTCGATCGTTGGACAGCGATAAGCGAGGAGCAAATTGCTCGTCCTTAGTTAAGTGGACGGGTTTGGATATAAATCAATAAGGTTTAATATACAAGCTATAATCATGGCATTATGGAAAAATGTTAAATTAGAAGGAGAAAATGCGATGGCTCGTAATTAAACAGAAGTAGGAACGGGTCCGTATGACATGTTGTTTATGATTGTTAGCATGTAATCTGCGAACATACGCGAAGTAGAACTCCTGCGTTTGCGATATTACTTGTTGCTATATGTTTTTATGTCTTTGTCTGACTTAATAGTCTGTCATTCAAAATGATTAAAGATTTGTATAAATTTTTTTTTTTTTAAGTTTATTGATTTACATTTTTTGTTTCATGTCCATGCTCTTCAAATATTGGATGGGATAGGCGGTAAGTATAGTATAGATCACGAGAGTTTTTTTGTTTTTTTGATGTTAATTAATCTAACAAGATGCCAAAAGAGTCATGATTAAACATTTATTGTTTAATTCTAGAAGTTAATACTCCCATCAGAACGAAAATTGCAATTTGGCTGATTTAGTGGGGTAATTCGAATATAGATGGCCCGTATTTAATTGTTTATTACATAAAAGTTAAAAAACGATGTTTCGACACAACCAATGCTAGCTTAGTCATCTTCTTTTAAGATAAAAGTTGTAAGTAACCTGTAACTTAATAGTCCATTAAATTTTATATCCATATCTTGGAATTCTTCTAATCAATAGCTAATAATTTTTAGGTCATTTCATAAAAATTTCTTATAATTTGCCTCAAAACAAACGTACCATATCATATTCACATATTCTGCAGTCTTGGCATGCTTGACCTAAAATAATTTTTTACCAAATTACAGTTTAAAATGGATCTAAGCCGCTAAGTTAATCTAAAAAGAATAAATCGTTGATTTATCGAAAAAATTTCATTTGTATACAATATTAACAGTTCCACAGTTCAAACAAAAGTTTCCTGGCGTTTTAATAAACGTTAAATTGCAAAAAATTGGGACAGGGACCGTTGAAAATCAAAAAAAGGCTTTGGACGACTTCAGAGCAAACGGCAAAATATCTTTAAGACGAAGGGCAGCAAAACTTTGCATGATCAAATCACATTTGAAAAGAATATTTAAAATTGCTATACCTATAGGTAATTCCGTACAAACGACGAATGAAGACGATTGGACTTTTCTTTGTGGATTGGAGAGAAGTATCTCACAAAAACAACATTATTTTTTGGATGAAGCGACATTTACCACTAACGGAGTTGTTTATTCACAATATTGTAGGTACTGGTCAAATGAAAATCCAAATTTTAGAATAAACTGTAGAAGCCAGTATTCAAAAAAAGATATTGCAAAATTATTTACAAAATTACCTTAATGAAATGAATTTGGCTAGAGAAAATGTATTATTAACAAGACAGTTGCAGCCCACAAAACTCTTTTGATAAGAAATTATTTGCTAGATTTGGCCCACAGTCACACCAACCAAGAAGTTCGGGTTTAACAATTATGCATTTTTACTTTTGGGGCAAACTGAAACAACCACTGAACACAACCAATTGAGATGATTTCTGGCATCATTTGGTCGTCCAAAACGTTATCATTTTTTGATGTACGACCATGACAAAATTCAACAAAACAGTTTTTGATGTTTAAATACGCTAGACAGAGCCACTATTTTGCTTTGCCGTTTTTTTTTCATCAAAAAGCAGTGCTTAATAAAGACACGAAATTTACTTTGTTGACAGATTGATCTAAAATGTTGGCAGTAACCATTTGAAAGATGATTCTTGTCAATCCTGCTAACAATTTGTAATTGTGGTTCCATCTTTTAAAAATTGTAAGGACTTGGATATGCCCTCATATATCGTTTAATTTTTATAAACCGCAAATTTAAAATAACACATCTTAATGATGCTTTTGCCTACATTGGTTGATATCAGATTAAAAATGAATATATGAAGGAGTAATTGTTACGCCAAGCGAGGTAAACACAAGTATACTTTTTTGTAAAGTATAATTGTTTACAAATACACAATTTGGGTACCCGCAAAAAAACTTGTGTCAAAATTATATCCTGACGTTTAATTTAATTCTGACGTTTACATTCAAAGTCATTCATGGTAGCGGGAGGAAAGGAATAGTATATTCTGTAACAAGTTTGGAATACAGCATATTCCGCTCGAGTGAAGAGTTTGTCACACGAGCCGAAGGCGAGTTTGAAGGTTTCACGAGAGCGGAATATGCAATTCCAAACGTGTTTCAGACTATACTTTTTCTACGTTTCCAAAAAATACCATAGAAAAATAATTTAATTGGAAGAAAGTGAGGTTGGATCGGTCTAAAATTTGTTAGATATTAAAAACAGAGATGTCGCCACGAGTGTTTATTCTGTCATCAGATGATATTTAATTCTGTAACACTTTACGGAATATATGTCATTCTATAGATAAGGGTCAAATTCCGTAATAGTAGTAGAAAAACATTCTTACGTGGTAACTGGGAGGGAATGAAAATATATACAGGGGAAGAAATAATATTCTTTACAGCCGGAGAAATGAATGTCATTAATTATTAACAATTGCTAATATAATCAGCCATTTATTTTCGAATTACCCTGTCCTAAATGTTGTAGACCAGCAAAGCCTCTAAATTCTCAATTGCAAAAACGTTGGTGCTTATATTCCAATATTACTGCTATATTTTGGTGTTTTTTGGTTTGTTAAAAAAATTAATTGGAATATGTACCAAAAATATATCATTTTGGTTGTTTATCGCGCATTCTTGCGCCTACTGACTCAAGCAATGCAAGAAACATATTACGGCCCGCCGTAAAATTATTACGAAGGCGTCAAACACCGGACTCCACATTAGTGTCTCGGAAATTATAAGCGCATTCTTCATTAAAATCGCCACATTATCCTGGCATCTCTTTTCTTCAACGTATATTAAATAAGGAGCGAGATTGTCGAAGATTTTCTTCTCGAATGGTTTTGAGCGAATTGAAAATGTCATCATGCAGAGATCTGATAAGAGGTAGCTTTTAGGGGGCCCACGAAACGACGGGGGTCAGCCAGCCGCGGGGCGTCTTAAAAACAAACAGCATGTCCCATGCGTTATGACGGTTACTGGAGGATTTCCTACGGAGCACTTACTTATACCGAGAGCGTAGCCCGTGGCTTGTATATTTAGGCCTGCTGGTCATAATCTAAACTATGCAAACGCGTTCCGAGATTAATATTGAATTAAATAAAAAATATGCCGTTTCATCGCATGCATCTTTAAAGTTGACGTTATCGCGAACGAACGTATACTTTTGCTTCTCGATAATTAATTTTATGACAGTATTTTAATATGCATTAATAATTTTTGTTGTCGGCTGTGGTACGAAAACAAGATGTCTTTGACAGTATGTGATTGTCTGCAGGTGATTGCAATAGACCGGTGTTAATAAAAAATACCTACAGCTGAACCTATTTGACATTACCAAGATTATGTATTCAAATTATTGAGAAAATGGCATTTTAATTGAGATTTTTTTATATATTCGATATAAAAAATACTAAATACCAAGAAGGTCTCTAATAACCACCTGGCTTTGTTAACCCATTTATAAATGGCATATCAGAGTGTAGAAAGAAAATTAAATTTGGTATTGCAATTAAATTGTTCTTGATTATTAAAAATTGTATCTAACCCTTTTCTTCACTTGTCCCTACGTATTTAACATTAATATAAATCAAGTTTTTTAGTTAATAATACTTTTCCTACCTTTGACCATAACATTACATTAGATTTGGTTAACTGGTAAATTTGATTGCATTTTAACCCCAACTTACATCACCTGAGTATGCCAATATTTGAGATACAACCATAAATTTAAAAATTAAAATTGTCGCACCCGTGGTGTTTACGCACGAACATCACGAAATCCCACGTAATTACCTTCGACCACTGCATTTAAGAATAATAATGCGTTTTAATTTTTTTTCAAACACTACGGTTATCTTCGGGTGATCTGGACGTATGATGGACGTGCGTACGCGCGATAGCTGTTCCCCTGGGCGCCTTCGACCCGGGACAGACAGGTGAACCCGTTAATACGTTATCATCATCATTATGCAAATAAGTAACTGCACCCGTTCAAAATAAGCCCCGGTCTCTACTTGCAGTAGCACCCTTAAGGAGGAAAAAATCAAACTTTTCCGACATTGTCCACACACTCGCATTAATATTTTTAATTCCCTTTTTAAATCGCTTCCAGCTACCGACCGACATGTGTTCTCTTGGTATTTAGTCAACCTGCTTCTGCTAAATACATGTTTAAAGTTTCTTTAATTTCGGGTTATTCAAAGCGTATTATCATAATAAACAGTTTATTTCTACGAGTTATTAACAGATGGGTTCAAATGTATAGTAGGTTTTACCTTCCTTGGGGTATTGTCTGGGCACGAGGGGGTGAAACATCTTTACATATTCACCAAGGGTAATAATGGTACATGAGAAAAACATTACCCCCAAAAACTGGGCTAGCATCACCCATAATGGGTATCTAAACTTCGCGTTTACATCCACACGATCTAACCTCATTACATCGAATTCAGCGTGCAATGGTTCTTCAAAGTTTCTTCGCAACTCAGGATTGTCATAAGGATAAAAAGGATCCTTTGAGTCGGCCGAGATCATCGGTAGATCTGGATAGTCTCCTAAACCTGTGCCATCATCAGGATATGGGTGATATTCAGATTTATGAAGGTTGTATTTTTTCGCATTTCGTTCCCACTCTTCTTCGTTTTTTGGGTAAGGTCCTGGTTTGTAGTCCTTGTTCCAATGATTTCTAATCGTTGATACCAAAAATGTATGTCCCGGCAATATGGTTTTATTAAGTGTGAAAGTTTTTGTCAAGAAATTCATTTTTGACGTTTAAAGAATTGTTACAGATTATAAACTGGTGACAGTTTTATTAAGTGTAAATAATTTTATCCGAAATCGGCAGTAAAGTACTTAACAATCGGCAGTAAAGTAAAAGAAATCGGCAATAAAGTAGAACTTTACTGCCGATTTAAGATGTGCATACTGCTCCTCAGCAGCAAATAAATAAATAATAAAAAGCACCATCGCGAAGGACGATTGGACCCTTTTATAAAATGTTGTTTAATAAAAATAATAAGTTAATTTAATTAATTCATTAAGTCGCAACAAACAGTATACTTAGCACTTCCTACATTCAAATGAGATTTGATTTAATCATCAATATTAATTATTAGTATTACGAGCCCTAACACAAAAATGTTCGGACACTTCATAATTTATACAGAAATATTTTTCGTGAATACTATCTCAAAATTATTAGAAGTTATGAAAAATTCAGCTCATTTTAGCATATACCCCTCGAAGCGATTTTTATTTTTAAAAATTTTACCTTTTATTTTTAGCTTTTAAAAAAAGGCTAACTTTTAAACTTTTTTTTGTATGAGTAAAAGTAATGCTATTTTTAAAGAGTTTTTGCAATTTTCTTAGGAAACGGGAGATTTTGCAGATATATATATATATCGTTATAACTTTCTTATTATTTATACAATTTTTACCAAATTTTCAGGGTTTGTATAATATTTTAAGTTCTTTTTCATGGGCCCATTTATAACTTTTTTTACTCATACAAAAAAAAGTTAAAAAGTTAGCCTTTTCTTAAAAGCAAAAAATAAAAGGTAAACTTTTTAAAAATAAAAATTGCTTCGAGGGGTATATGCCAAAATAAGCTGAATTTTTCATAACTTCTAATAATTTTGAGATAGTATGCACGAAAAATATTTCTATATAAATTATGAAGTGTCCGAACATTTTTGTGTTAGGGCTCGTATTAAATGTGATTTTGGATAAAATTTAATATGCACCTCGGTATTAAAGTCATTTTTTATCTCCAACTTGGTTATTTGCCGAGGCGAAAGCCACATTCATGATTAAAAATACGACTTTACTGGCTTGATACATAAATAACTATTATAAGACTTTATTAAATAAAAATAATTCCCATTATCATACATGTTTCCATTATAAACATAAAAATATTACTAAATGTACAAAAATTATTTTATTATCTCAATACATACATTGTACTGACCTTTTAATTTCGCCGGCACTTAACTAGATATAACTTAAATTCGGGCTCGTACTCCACTGTGAAGTGCTCATAAAACATTTTCTTTACGCGGTTTCTAAATTATTTGAAAATATATTGACTCACAAGTTCACGGATTTAATCGAAAATAATTATCATTTTTTGGGTACCCCAAATAGAAACATTTGAGGGGGTAAGAGCGAAAAAAAAAATTTTTTTTGAAGCACTATAGTGTTTATATTACATTTGAAGGTCTTTACAAATATTTGATTTAAATCATTTTAAGATAATGAGTATTTGTCGTAGAATAAGTATAGTATGCAACTAGTTTATAAAGTTTTCTAGACACTCATTAATTTAAGCACTTGCTCGCAAGCTCGCTCATACCTAAATTAAATTCGTGTCTAAAATGGCGTTTATCAAACTTGATACATAATATACCATTATATGAACATATTGCCCTACTAATACAATATTAGGTAACAAAGGACAAAAGATCGTTTTAATTGTTACCTGATATTGCAGATACAGAGGGTTTAACCTCGGGTTTAGCTTAGCACGGCAGCATACAGTTTTTTTAATATAACTTTTAAATATCGTATCGTGTTAAATCAAATTTAGCCTACTCTAAGCAGCATTTCTTTGTTTGACTATTAAGTAAATATATTTAAAAGCACGGCAATTATAGCTAACGTATTTTGTTGGCCTGAAGTATAAGCAGTTATATTGGAAACATCCTAATTTATTATTAAAAAATATCGCTAGTCTGGAAGAACTTAATTTAATAAATAATTTCAAAAGTGTTTAATAGGACCAGCAATGTTTATTATGTTTTTATATGCTAAACAAAACTTTAATTCCATATCAAATAATCAAAATATGTTTTTTTACCAAAGGCTTTATAATTTAACATAAAAATTATGTTAAAAGTTTATATTTTGCATTTAATCTAGTTTGGAAATTTTGTTTGGCATTGTTTTAATATAACTTAAATAATTAACTATATTTTTTGTTTTCATGTTTTCATCATCACCATCAGTATGTAAGTATAGTACATATTTATAATATTTAGTTATGGTATGCTGGCTAAATATAAATTTTTAGTTTTTAAGACGACAAAATTAGTTTGGAAATGCTTTAAATTTCCCTAGAAAAAGCTCTGTTTCTGTCGACTTCTGGGTGGTCTTGCTGGTGCAAGAAAGGAGGAACTCTGTATAAATAAATAAAATCCCAATAAAAATGCAAAATAGAGCGGGTAAAGTAAAGTAAATGAGAGAAGACGGCCGGACAGTGTTTTGTGTGTCGGATGGACGCCGCGCGTAGGACACGGTACGACAAAAAGAGGAACCAAAATATGTGGGCAACACGATCCTCGAAGCAGATACGTCTTGTATCTGATAAGGGAGAGCATACAGGTCGCAGAACGAACGAGACCCATAATTCCACAATTGTAAACAGATAACGGACTATGACGTTTGCACATGGGCGTATGGGCCTTTCACAAAATATTATGTCCATTCTTGCTTTGTTTTGCAATTAAAATCTTTTAGGGAGAACTTTTAGTTAAGAAAAAAAATCCATCCTTTTTTTAATTAAGATTATTAAGTAAAATATGAGACTAAATATATTGAGCCAAGATGTTTTTTAGCATAATTAACTTTTACAAAATTAGGTAAGTCATTTCAATTTTTAAAAAAACAAGCTAAATGGGGGTTCCCGGTCAATTTTAAAACTATAAATATTTTCATATTTCATACTAAGTGGGGATCTGCCGATTTGGTTTGTCTTCTTTGAAAATGAAAGTATCCAGTTTTGGAAAAGTTACTGATGTACAAAGCCATGGCAAACATAAAAATTTATAATATTTGAGCTGGGGCAAAAAACGGTAGTAATATAAACATACAAAAAATTTTATGTTGTTTATTTTGAGTATGAGTAAGTTTTCTAAAGTTGAGCATTTTAATTTTTAAAAAATATACAAGCAAAATGATCGAACCACCGATCAATGTAAAATATGAAAATATTTCTATTTTTAAAATTGACCGGGGGCCCATTAAGCTTGTTTTTTTTAATGAATGTGCCAAATTATAGTTAGGCTCAAAAAAAAAATATTTTTAACCGTTTTCTACCCTTGCCTGAATATTATTATTTTTATATTTAAGATGCCTCTGGGGCGATGGAAAGAATTCAAAAAATTTAATTTTTTTTTCACCAAAATTTTTATTTTTATCATACTCAAGTTTTCTATATACAAGCCTTATCAATTTTAAAAACATTTTCACAGTGCAGAAGGATGAGTACAAACCAGTCGCGTATTTAACGGGCGGAAAATGCGCTGTTGCCGCTCAGGCGCACCTGGGCCCCAAATATTAAAATTTTGTGTGTGGCAAATAGAGATTGTTTGTTTTCGTCTAAAAATGGTTCAAAATCATATAGAAAATTCAGCTTAAGCAAAGCGACAAATTTGCCGCTAGGAAAGGTTGGAAACAAATTGCTGCCACATTTCCCTAATGTCAGTTGGCTTTGCTTATTTTCTTAGTTTGTTTGGAACGTTAAATACCTACTTAAGATATTGTGTATTGTGTTTTGTAAAAGTAAAGTAAAGAATATGGAGTATTTTTTAGAGAAAAAAAATTTAAAAGTATTGCCTTATTGTAATAACTTAATTTGACAATAAAAACAATCAGTAGCGCGCGGAATTGTGCTCAAGCCTTCCTAAGCTAATTAAAAAAACTTAATAATCTTTTGTTTAATATTAAAACGCAATATGCGGCAACAATGCAATTAGTCCCTCCTTCAAATGAATGCTGCCACAATGGATCGTTGCGGACCTTTTATAACGAAAAAGGCAGGCATAAGAACAAATTAACAATCAAAAGCCTCTGAATAATTTGTACCAGTCATTTACCTGTGTTGATCCAAAGATTTGTCCATTATAGAAATCGCAGAACATTCTGAGGCACAGTGATTGAAAGATACCGCTTAAATGATATTAGGTAGAGTGGTGCCAACCTACAAGAACAAAATTTTGTCAATACCTTTTATGTGGGACATTTAAATGGAAAAATTCAAAAATTTTCGGTCAGAATGTATTTCATGTTCAAAAAATAGGCTTTTCCTGTGCAAGTAAGTCTGTTTATTAGTTTGAAAGGCAAACATTTTTTATTTCAATAGATTTAATTAATGTACTATCGCTAACAAAAAAACTCATACAGCTTAAAAATCTAGTGTTCCTGATTTTCTATCATTTCGTTGGAGTAATTATGGCTTTTAACATGATACGTCACATTTGAAAGGTCTAAAATTAAATACAAAGTTAGGTTAAAGTTTGAAAAAAAAATAATATTTCGTCATCCCTCTGTTTTTGTCAATTACTGCCCGCAAACGGCAAAGCATGGAAGTCGCCGTCTTGCTTTATCTCGTTCCAAATGGCTTCAATGGCTTGCCAGAGTTCGTCTGCATTGTTTGGTTAAAAATGTTAAAAAAGTCATAATGGATGTGACAAAGCTCGATGTCAGCTTGACATTGGCGGAAAAGTTTTATTCACACAGCCACAATATAGCTGTATGAGTTTTTTTTTGTTAGCGATAGTAATAAATTTTATTTTAAGAAAACCAAAATATCAAACTTAAGTATATTTTAACAATATTTAGATTTATAAACTTCTTTTTAAATCTTGTAAACCTATTTAAAATAAAATATGTACTTACGTATGCAGAAATATTTATATTTTTAATTATGTCGAATATTTACACACAGAAAAGTGGCAATTTGCAAGATATTCCTAATTAACAATTTAAATTTATTTATCTTCTTCAATCTTCAAGTAACATCCTCTATTATACAGACATCGCAATGCATTGTATAGACAGGTTCAGGTGTTGATATTGATATCAGTGTCTTGTTTGCAGAGGAAGTGGCATTTTTTAACTTGTTTGTTGTATTTTTGTCAATTTATCTTTTTTACACTTTACATAAAGAATAGCGCATACTACTAAAAAAAATAATGAAGTTGAATAATTTTATCGTAGTTTCATTGCATGTAATTGGATTTAATCGCGACAGATAATGTCAAAAAGTTAATGGGTCTAAAAATTACAAAAAACTCTAAAGTGGTCAAATTGATTTTTTAAATTTGATCGAAGTTACCCATACCTACTATAAAATACCTCAAAAACAAAAAACAAAACCAGTTGCTGACGAAGAAATGCCTAAGAGTTTTAATTTTAATATTTTTTTATTCAAAAACAGTAAAACTAATGCAAAAGTGATAGAGAACTTGCATATTTTGGCGTGAACTATCATCCCATGACAACTTAGTACATTACACCCAGTATATTTAACACCGTCGGAAACCTTAAAATTAACATTTAAAACGCGTTACTGAAATGACGATTTAAGTAGCTGTTACGCTAAATTAGAGACATGATGTGCTAAAAGTGTTCGCACATCATGTTGCCAATTTATTTAACCAGCATACCACTCAATGTTTAAATTTTAGAACTAATTTTTTAAGAAATATTTTAGACTGTCCTGCATTGGGGAGCCAAATATGGAAATAAGGACATAATTAAAGAGTTCGCAGGAAATTATAGAGTGGACGTAAATGCCAAAACGGTAAGAAAATAAAAAATCACATTTTATTTCATTTAATTCATTTAAAAAATCCATAGACATAGACATAATTAATTCGTATTACGTTAACTTTTAATTAATTTTTAATCAATAAATAAACATTTTATTTGTATTTTTTGTTTCCGGTTATTTCCATAATGCAGAATGGGGTAAGTACCTACTATTTAATTTATTTCTTTTCAAACAAAAACCCAAAAACAAATAGCCTTAGGGGTCGTCCATAAAGGACGTCACGCTTTTTTAGGGGATTTTTGACCCCCCTCCCCGATTGTCACAGATTCTCAAAGCAGCGCGAACCCTTATCCCCCATGTTACGTCACAAATTCAAAAAACTAATAATTGAATGATCACACAAATTTAAGGTAGTTGTGCTAAACAATTTTTTTAAATATTTTTTTATTTTTAAACTGAGGATACCTAAAATATAAATATATATTAGCCACTGAACTTCTACTCTAAATTTGGAACACTGTAATATAGTCACATTAATTTTTATTTTTGAACAAGTAAATTCTGAATAAAAAAATTACAAGAGAACAAAAATGTATTTTCTCAAATTTCCTTCCAAGGATTTTCAAAATATTTAACAGCAGAGTGAATTGGCATAAAATCGGATTTTTCAGATGGAAGAATTATTCCATTCAAATCCAGATTATCTTCTGCTACTTTATTTTTTCAATTTTTATTTTTTCATCCTACGATTTTTCCGGTGTTTTTGAAGCATTACTTTTGAAGCAAAGTACAGGTGGCATGTTTTACAAATTCTGGCTTCTAAATCTGTCTGTACTGACGAACAAAATGAATCATAATAAGGGTATATATCATATAAGTGTCCGATTTCGACGAGCGACTAGCAAAAAAATAATTTTCTAAAAAGGGTTAAGTTTTAATTTTGTAATGATCTGGTGCCCTTGATATATTTATTTTTGATTTGGGCACGCAATATAAATAGGCGTTTAGCATATAGACAACTTTTTGGATGGAAAAGACGATAATTTCGTCATTTCGGTAACGAAGACATTTAGTAACTATCATAATATTTTTTTTGTCAGCTCTCTTATCAAAAGTAAAAAACTTTGAAGGTAAATATCCCTACTATTAAAAATTATAAATACATACATTCATTTTTATTTGAATTGAAAATAACTCTCTGTATTTAACATTATTTGTTGATTTTTCTTTTTTTTTAATCTAATGTTTGCTTTTTTTCTTACCAAGTTCCATAGTATTTAGAATGCTACCTTTTTCATAAATTTTAATGTATGCCCTATAATTTTAAAATTTTTAGAGAAGCTCATATTATTTTATTTTTCAATTAGTCCTGGTAAACTGCCACATTAAAGAAATTACAATATTACCGAAATGACGATGGTTTATTACCAAGTAAGAAATATAAATATAAATAAGAATCAAGAAATTCCAAAGCTAGTAAAAAACTTTTATTAACATATTAAACTTTTTGTAACGATTTGTTTAAACAAGATTTGCAACAAAAATTCGGTGGATCGGAAATGGTGCCTATTTGTTTTCTCAAAATACATTCCACGTGAAAGGTTCGAATGCAATGTTTGCATTTAATTCCATTCCTGGATGAGTTTATGAAAAAGGTGTAAATAAAGCAAAGTCTTCCATTCCACTTATTAAGCAAACTTTCATCCAGTGGCAAAGTCGTTTTGGGATAGGACGGTTTTACAATAATTTCTTGGTGAATAATTATTTTTGATTCTTTAATTTTTTTAATCTTCTCTTCTATTTCTTCCTTCGCTCTTAGTAGTTCCATTAGTTCCGAAGATTTATCATTCTCATTTGTCTGTATTTTTGCCTTGACATCTTTTTTCTCTTCATCCCGTCTTCGCGCTGCTTTTTCACGATCTATTTTCAAACGGTTCTTCAATTTTTCGTACTTAACATCCATAAGTCTTACTCTATCTAGAAATAGGCGTGTACACATTTAATTTTATGGTTTTAATTATTTTTTCTATCAGATGCAATAATTTACATGTCGAACAGAAGGGTCAAAACCAAACTTTATATTACCCCTTGTGTACCAATAATAACTGATTATTAATAAAATCAAAAAGAAAATAGCAAATAAAAATCTCAAAGTAGGTATACTGGAATATACTAAAACCCCTATAAAAATGAACACAAATTCCCCAAAATGTCTCAGAATATCAAAAGAAATGCACTTGTTTTTCCAATAAGCAGAACCAAAATGCTCTCCAAAATGACTCTGTCCTTGTGGAAAGTTTTTTAGATACAAAAACTAGTTGAAATATTTTACGCTTTAAAGCGTTTAATAACAACTTTTAACTAATTTTCATGATGGCATCATTTCAGTAACGCATGATCATTTCGGTAACGACAACGTTTGTTACCGGAATGATTGTTACCGAAATGACGAAATTGAGTTATAACTAAACGAAACCCATTTAAATTTGGCACCATCAAACTAAAAATTTGAGGTTACGTTACTGACGCCGCATCATATCATTATGTTGAACATTAAAATAGTATCCAAGTCATAAAACAGAAAATTGTGCGTTACCGAGTTGATCGACATTAAGGGTAGGTTAACAGTTATTGAATTACCAATCAATTTTATAAAAAAGTGAACAAATTAATTCTAAAACTTACCTCTTTTGCACAAAGTACACACACTACGACACAAACTATTAAAGTCACTAACTACAGTAGTGCACATTTAGATGGCGCTACAGTGCCGTCCAATATCGTTAGCGAAATGACGGTATTGTGCCGGGACATGCAAATAACAATTTTATTGACTGTATTACTTAAATTTTTTTTATACAAACGTATTATTCTTGTACATCAAACTTGTAGCTTTGAAAAAAAAATTGCATTTAATGGAATTTATAGGTTAAACTTAAGTTTTATAAGAGCTTTATTATTAAAATATAATCAGGGACAGTTACCGAAATGACGAATTTGCTGTTTATTTAAATATTTTAAGCCCAAAAATTAATTGTTTTATAACTTTTAATTTTTTATCGAAAGAATAACGTTTCCTTATTGGAAATTTCTTAGTAATACATTTTTTTATAAGTATTGGACATGTAAAATACCTTGGGGACACAAATCGAACACTTATATGAGAATCACCCATAAATTATTATTATTATAACAGGGGGCTCAGCTTTTTTGTAAATTAACACTTTTTGAAAAAAACAGCGATGGGAATTTAGTGGTTGAACTGCCTTCTAATTTGGTCGGCGAAGGAACTTTTAATCCATATTCTGTTTGTTCAATAGGAATGGGAGACTTCAGAAATCGTTCCGACAAAATGTTGAAAATTGTATCTGGGTAAAATATTGACTTGTTCTGACATGCTGCGCTGCCCATTTCAAATCTTTTTGGTTTAGTTTAGTTTGAACACAAAATATGTATGAAAAATATTTAGTTTTGGAGAAAATAAATATAGAAAATCCTTCTATAATAGGTAAAAAAACAAATTTCGGACGTCACGTTCTCACGAACCCCTCCCCAAACCCTTGTCACAAATGGTCACGTTTTGCTAGACCCCTACCCTCCTCCTAGGGCGTGACGTCTTTTATGGATGACCCCTTACGAAACATACACCCCTGGACAAAAACATCTAATTTTTGGTTTAATCCTATTGTTTAAATTTTAGTATATTTGTTTGACGTAATTAAGTTAAATTTAAATTCACAATTGCTCCATCACTTAAAATATAACATTTATAACAAATATAAACGCGTTTTTCTACTTTTGGGTTTCTTAAAAATCTGACGTGACTAAGCAATTCTAAGGTTGGATTTGGATTCAGCGCATTAAAGACCTTCGAAAAAGTATACTCTAGCCCCAGCTCTAGCCCTACCAACAATGACGATACAAACAATATAAATGACGAGTTTTTCCATCCGACACTTTACGATATGTTACTTTTATCGTTGGCGATATCGTCATGACGAGTCGTCAGAATTAAAAATATGGTTTCGAACTTTGTTTCTCATCATTTATGATCTGATATTGATAAACTGCCCTACTATGGAGAAAGGCAGTAACTACAAAAAATTCTTAATGCGTTTTCTTGTGCTATGATAAAGCTATGGACATTTTGTATCTTAATTCAACTAAAAAATGCAGTAAACTATCTTATAAGTTAAATAAATCAATTAAATATCTACTGATTTTTATAAAAATTTAGTTTATGCCAATTTTCCACAGATTTCTTGTTTAGCAGTTACTGCCTTTCTCCATAGTTGGGCAGTAAAACTCTTATCGTCTTAGGGCCGGTTTATCAATGTCCAGTTAAAGTTGCAGTTAGTTATCTGCTATAGTTTCCATGGATACCATTAATAATAATAATAATAATAATCGTCTTTATTTAAAGTAAAATTATTACAATAATATTATAATATATATTGTAAGTAGGTGGCACATACGGCGAAGTTTAGCCTAAGGCTACTCTTATACTTAACCGTATCTCACAACGATCGATATGGAATTTAACTGTCAGCTATACTAACTGGGACTTAACCAGAGATTGATAAACCGGTCCTTATCAAAGCTAATACAAATAAACCGTTTTCAATGCAACACGTTGCAACGTGGTGTTATATTATTATTATTTTCACATTTTACAAGGTAATAAAGAAAATGGTGTCAATATATATATAGTTTTAATTGATAACGTGAAGTAAATTACCACTGTAATTTTTTGAATTTCCACGTATTAATACCAAACCTGGTACATTGTTGAACAATGCATAAGTAAGTTGTTTTATAATGGCCTCATCTTTTATAATCATATTATTTTTTTTTATAATTTTAATACCTTTATTTTAAAGTACCTAACTGTGCAATTTACATTTATTGGATCTTTATGAAAACTGTTGACTGGAAAGCAGAAACAAAATTTATAATCGATGCATTTTAAAAGAATACATATATAATATGAAACTTTAAAATTTTAGGTATCCAGGCGTGCATTTCGTATGACCATAAAAAATATTATGAGTGTAGTAGTAGTTTTAAAATATGCCTGTCATCAGGTCATAATATTTACGATGGGAAAAACTAACCTACGCCACAAGAAACAAAATATATTTTCGTGCAGCCGCATTCCGCTGTCTTGTCCTTTTTTAAAGGGTTACAACCGTTGTTGTCATCACAAAAGAGACTCCATTGTAACCATGGATTTTGGCAAAAATCCTCATCGATCTAACAACATTTGCTCGGAAATCGGGGATATTAGTAGATATGTCGGCAGGTTGATATAGAAACATTAAACGTCATAAACAAGTGTTATCTCGTAATATTAAGGTGGATCTTTATTATACCTGACATCGGTGGTATAAAATATGGCTCCGCCAGGTTCGCTCTACGGGGTTCCTGCGAGAAAGAAAAAAAACCTTTATTGGTCAAGAATCTGTATTTGGCGCAATTGAGATTGAGATAAATGAAATGATATTGTTTATAAACGTTTTTTCTGCAACGGGGAACGATTAAAATTAGCATCAAGATGACCTACTCTGCCCAAGTTTATACATTTTAGAATTGTTTATCATGAGAAAATGCATTTTTGCATGTTTTTTATCAATTTATTTAAATGTTATGTGTTAAGCAACTTTTTAGTTAATAATTAAAGGTAATAGTAACTTTATGTCAATAATGGCGGTATGTAGTATTTGTTGGACAATTTTAGTCAGTTTTGGTTAGAATTTGGCCACATATTTATTCAAAAAAAATCCTATTTTTAGCAGTTAATAGTTATATATGTCAAAGGGCTTAGAAGTGAGTCTTTTTGTGCTGAACCCAACGTTTAAAGGCTGACGCAAAGACCTACAATTGAACGAAACACAAAAAGACATTTCTCAGCCGAATGGCATACAATATTTTATCTTCAAGTTTAAATTATAGAACGCTTGTAGAAAAAATTATGTTTTTGTATTAAATTTAATTTAAAAATGTATAATATCAATTTAAAAGGAATGGTTACCGCAAATCCGTGTAAATAGAATCAAATTTTATAGGATTTGTTTAAAAAATTATATTAAGGCAGGACCAGACTAAGGAAACAGTGTTGGGCAACAGTATAAGAACAAACGTATTTTTGTTGACAATCTGTTCTACCTAGTGGCATTGGTAGTAAAATCAGAGTGTCCACACTGAACATTGGGGCTGGGCGATTATCGAAATTCACAATCGATTAAAATAATCGTTTTATTTTCGATTAATCGATTTTTGATTAATATTAATAAATCGCATTTCCCCCTTGAAATGCTGCTAGCATGCTATGATGCGTCAGCTGCATGATACAAAGAAAACATGCGCAATGTAATATCTTGTTTTCTTTAAATAATTTGTCAATTGTATAGACCAAAAATGAAAATACGATATTTAAGTGTATTGGTAAATATGGTAAATACAATTCAAGATAAAAAAGAAAGTAAAAAGGACAGTTTTTGGGTTTTTGGGTGACAATGCCAATTTAATAAAGATAATAAAGCTTAAATTAACTGACGTTATGAAACTACTGGAATCAGATGACCTAATGACCACCTTGCTGCAGAAAAAAATATTTTTTTTTTTGATAACGGACCACCGAATTCCTATAGATTTTTTTAATGTTGGGCCGTCTGAAATTAACCTTTCTTTAGAATGATGTACTTACTGGAAAATACATATGTAGTTATATATAAAATTAAATAAATACTGTTTCTATTCTATTGCAATAAAGTATACGGGTATTTATATTTATTATTTAATAAAAAAATTAAAAATTAACATGTTATGCATAAATATAAATTAATATCAGTCAAAACTTTATTATCTATATTAAAGATGTACAAAAACTTTCCGAAAAGAGTTAGAATTAAACGTTGTTACGATCTTTTTAATGAAGATATCCAAGTGGAATTTTCTCCTTAATTTTTAACTTTTACTACCTAGAATTTGTAATAATTTGTAATAAACCGGGAGGAGAGCTTTTTAATTGAGTTGCCACACAGACTTTACGTCTGCCGTCATAAAAAATAAGCGTGAGACTCTTGAAAAAAATATTCCGCATTCCGTTTGGACTAGAATTGTTACACGCACCGTCAAAAAATATATGCCGGCCTTTTTCGTCGTAAAAAGGCCGTTTCTTGTTAAAACGGTAGCCGGGTTTTGACAGGGGATGTAATAATCGGGTGGCAAGACGCATGCCAAGAATAACTTTCAAAAAACACCGACAACCTGATTTCGAGATGGTTACTGTGATTCAGTACATTTATTTATTAGTCTTAAAGAAAATAAGAATTTATTTTTTTTTATTTTTAGGGATATACACCGTTACACATAGCTGCTCAGTTTGGACAGGTTGATGTTTTCAAATTACTCGTAGAGGTTTATAGTAAGTTGGGAATTATTTTGTTGTTATAACTTTTATAGTTATTCATGGTTTTTAAAGCATTGTATTTGTAACTTAAAAAAAACAAAAATTCTTATCTTATACATTATATATTTAGTGCACAAATAATTTAAAATCATAACTTTACTTTAAATGTTAAATGCAGCTAGATTGGATTTTTTAAGAACAGCGTGTGATTTTATTCCTGAAATGAATGGGCTAGTTTCCCTGAAGTCGTAAAATTGGAAGCAAATAATTTTTCTAATTATTGCAATTAAGATAAATTCACACAAAATGTTCCGGATTTTTAGACAAGGATTTTAACTCCAAATCCCGAATATCTAAAAGTTTATTATAAAATCCTTTAATACCTAAAGTATAAGATTCGGCCTAATCCAAAAAAACTTTTTTCTTAGAGGCAGATATTCATATAAGGGACTACAGCGGAAAAACGGCCGAGTATTATTTGAAAACGAAGAAAGGCGGTCCAGAGGGAAGCGTCACCTTACGCAGTGAGTATAATGAAAAAATTGCAAGGCATGTTTTTCGTAGGCCCTCGCAACGGAAAAGCAAAGGCATGCAATTTTCGCTCACGCAGCACTTAACTGGATACTATTCGGTCGCCAAATGAATGCAGCTTTTTTCTTCTTTCTTTTTGCATGGAGTTTTTGGGATTTTATTTTTGGGAATTTTGTAGTATTATATGCAGTATTATAATTATTTTTTCAAGCAATAAGGAAGTAGTATACTACTATTATAACAGTTATGTTTTTTCTGGGTCAAAATTATAGGCAACTAGGTTTTTTTGGCAAATTAAAACTTAAATCTTTTTAATGCAGAAGGTTTAGTGAAGTTTTTTACTGATTCTTATTATAATGGTATATATTCAAAGTAGTAGTAGGAAATAATAAAATATAAGATTTTAATTTTTAAAAAGAAATAAAAAAAAGTTGCTTTAATGTAGATGCAATCAGTAATTCATATATTAGGTTTTCAATAACGTATGGACCATGCGGTATGGTTCGAAAGTTTTCAGAGGCTGACAACTCTTATAAATATAGTTTTATATTTTTATCAAAATTAATATCTCTTAACTATCCTTATTATAAAATAAAATTCAAATAATCGACAAGGGACCGTTATTTTCGATTTGCCCAAGTTTTTCCCTGACACGTTGCATCATCCTTTGCACGAGCACAGTATTGATTTCACCATTTTTTCTGTATATACGGCCTCGCAATTGTTTTCATTTTTACATGCTTTACATTCGCTATTGTACATTTCCCAACCAATATTGCTCAGAACCAATATTAATTAATATTAATTAATATTATAATACATTTAATGTTTCGATTTGTTATGTAACCAAACTTCGGTACGATTTAAAATTAATATTAGATTGTTATTTTAATACAACTTAACGATAATTTAAGATTTAATGTAACTAACATTAATAAAGCCATAAAGAAATACAATACCCAACCCTAAGGACAGTAATGACACCATAAACTCGTCGCATTAGCCAAACTTCCTTATGTAAATGATAAGTTGGAAGCGAATTTCGAAAATCCACCCCTAGTACAAATTTAATACCAAAAATATCAACGACAATGTATTCAATTACCTTAAAAACATTGAAAATAAAAGGTGATTTGAAGATTCGAGAATAAACGACATGTTACTACTTTATATCGAATGAAAGTCGTGTGGCAATTTATTGAATTTACATAGTCAGTAAATTTACATTCTTTCTCTTAGAAGAACCAAATTTAATTTTTTTGTTCGCGATTTGTCAATTGGCTTCAGCTAAAGGAGATCGTTTTTATTTCTTAATTTGATCTTCTTTGTCACAACAGCATCCACTGTTTCTTTTTTTGGAAACTGAATCATCCTCTTTTTCAGAAGGATAGGAAGTTTTTTTACATCCTCCATAGAAGCCAAAGTCTTTTAGATTATTTGAGCAGCCAAATATAATATTTGTAATCAAATCATAATTTTGAATTAATGCCGGTTTTAAAAATTTTGACATAAAAAGGTCCAACATTTTCGTTGAGAAAGGCTGGATAATATGAATTCGTATCATTGGTTAGAACAATTGGGTTGAAAGTATTAAACGCGTTAAGAACATATTTCAAAAAAAGGAGGCATGCTATTCGGGATGTCTTATTATCTCCATTGAAGATTCTCCAACCCATCTCGAAGAGTTCTTGAAGAGCTTGATCTTAAAAATATAACTTTCCAGTTCGCTGCTTTTTCTTTATTTGATTTTTTTAACATATCATCTACATACGTAATGATACTTGGCCAACACAAAAGCAATCTTTCGATTGCATTTTAATGAGTAACAAGTTGGGCAGTAGTTCAATAACACCACTGACAATTGATTATTATAATTAAGCTTTGCAACCAACCAACTAATGCCGATGATTTCCTCATTACATGGATAAGATTTTTAGTGCAAAACTTGCTTTAAAAAAAAGAAACAAACTCGCGACAGAAACAGTTGATTGTCACAAATATCAAATTAAAAAATGGAAATGACCACCTTTAGCTAAAGCCCAAAGACGAACGATATTTAGTAAGAATGAATGCAAAAACCGCGAACAAAATTCCTGACAGTATTTTTGTTTTTTGATCAATAATTATTATGGAGTGTGTAAAAAAGGTATTTTTGTATGAAATACAAATCGTACATATAAAATATAAAATCTTAAATTATGGTTAACATGTATTAAAATAACAATCGGCAAAAAATATTAATTTTAAATCACTAGTATTGAACTTTGGTTACCTACATAAAACATCGAAATATTAAATTAAATTAGTCATCGCTTAAGCCAGCCAGATGTTTGCTAAATGGATACATTGCTTAGAAGTCTTCAATTAGGCTAGCCTAAGGTAGGTGAGAGGATTTTCTACTTTTGGTACAAAGCCAGATCTGGCCAAAACATTATTTCATTATCCGCATAACGTATGCTTAAGAACTGAAGCAGTTTAGACAGATATGGGGCAAAATTTGCCAAGTGTACCAGGAGAAAAAATTTTTGTCACCGATTTTGTTTAAACTTTACTTATTTGTTGTTCTTATAACGAAGAATCATAGCATAAAATTTTTTTGCTCTAGGATTGTTCATTCAAAAGTTATGGATTATTGAAATTTATCGATTTTTTACTTTTTGGTGAAATCGCTTTTTATTTAAAAATTCATAACTTCTGTTCATCTCTTTATTAAATATTTCAATTTAACCACCTTAAATGATTTTTTCCGTACTTTTCAATGGGCTATACCGCTTTTGCAAAAAAGTAAAAATTGCAATTTTTTTTTGAAATTTTGCAAAATTTTGCATTTTTTGAAACAATGTGTATTTTTTAATTTTTTTTAAAATAGCATAAAATCCAAGTTTATTATGTTACCTTTGAATAAAAAAAAAATTTAGAGTGGGCCCGACATGTAGAAGGGAAGTTTTTCATATTTGAATGCCGCACGGTCTAGCCATCGAATAGCTAATACACTGCCGTAAGCGTTTATACCTAGTAGATGCGAGTAAACGAATAAAAAATGATAATTTAAAATGTAAAATTATGTTTGAGTAGTCAATGATGTATTTTAAATATTTAAACTGCCGCACGATATAGTTTTTTAACTGTATTTTTTGCACAAATTGTTTAAGCATGGGTCTACATAGATTTCGCAAGGAGGATCGATGATATTAAATAAAAAATGTATTGTTATAACCGTAACGGCTTGCCTATAAGCTGAATGGAGCCTTTACGGTTATAACAATACATTTTTTATTTAATATCATCGACCCTCCTTGCGAAATCTATGTAGACCCATGGTTAAACAATTTGTGCAAAAAATACAGTTTATATACAAAAGTGCTCTTTTAGTTCCACCCTTACTTCTTAAGAAGTCCCATAAGCCAACTTAATGGCTTGTGCGGGTTAGGGGTAGGAACGGACCGCGGGCTTAAAGTCCCCTCCGAAGGACTAATACACAATAAAAAAACTATATCGTGCGGCAGTGTAAATATTTAAAATACATCATTGACTACTCAAACATAATTTTACATTTTAAATTATCATTTTTTATTCGTTTACTCGCATCTACTAGGTATAAACGCATACGGCAGTGTAGTAGCTATTCGATGGCTAGACCGTGCGGCATTCAAATATGAAAAACTTCCCTTCTACATGTCGGGCCCACTCTAAATTTTTTTTTTATTCAAAGGTAACATAATAAACTTGGATTTTATGCTATTTAAAAAAAAATAAAAAAATACACATTGTTTCAAAAAATGCAAAATTTTGCAAAATTTCAAAAAAAATTGCAATTTTTATTTTTTTGCAAAAACGGTATAGCTCATTGAAAAGTACGGAAAAAATCATTTAAGGTGGTTAAATTGAAATATTTAATAAAGAGATGAACATAAGTTATGAATTTTTAAATAAAAAGCGATTTCACCAAAAAGTAAAAAATCGATAAATTTCAATAATCCATAACTCTTGAATGAACAATCCTAGAGCAAAAAAATTTTATGCTATGATTCTTCGTTATAAGAACAACAAATAAGTAAAGTTTAAACAAAATCGGTGACAAAATTTTTTTCACCTGGTACACTTGGCAAATTTTGCCCCATATATGGATATAAATCTCTGCATTTAAGGCTTCTCCCCAAACAACGCCAATGTAGAGCTGCTAGATTAAGCCAGCCCTTAGAACCATACCATACCAAACTGTTGTCCTGAAACTTTTTCTTTTTAATTTAACTTAACTTTTTAATCATCGGGGACCATAATTGCCCTTCATCTCAGAGTTGGAAAAAGTGAAATATTTTTTATCGTCCATCATGATCATGTTGACGAAATGTAGCAAAATCTCGTTATTTTCTCTTACTAAACCTTTGTTTATTTTAGAGCTTTCCTTCTTCTCCAGAAGACAATATTCTTACTTGATAGTGTCCTGAACACCGTAGTCTTGGCCAGTTTTCTTCTTGACATTCTTTAGTAATTATTATGAAATAAATTGGTTTTTTGTGTTTTATCTCGATAAATATCGACAATGTTTCGTTTCGACATTTTAATCACCTCGACGAATATTAACTTTATAGGACCTTTTGCAACGCAGAAATCAAATGCTTTTGGATTGTTTATTTATTATAATGGTAACATTTCCATAACCTGGTTTTTTTCACTCCATCAAACCAGGTGAGTATTTCTCAAAACTTTCGAACCATACATTAGGTCTTAGACAGGGTATATGTCTATGTGTTAGGTACTTTTGAATAAAATTCATAATTTTAAATATTATTTACATTTTAAAATTAACCAACTTGTATATTTTGACCCATGTTTTCTTATGCATGTAACCCCTTCTAATCTAGGAATGTAACTAACACATTGGTGTGTAAGGGTTTTTTATTTTACCTTCTACTTATTTTTTGGTGTGTTCCAGCTAATATTATTGATGTTACCAATCAATTTTTGTTGGAACAAATCAAGAACAAGCTTTAGGAAATCACAAGGTTTTTAGGCTACTAATATTTTTAAATTAATTGTATTTTTTGTATTTAGTTTATATATCTGTATATAATAAATCCATATATTTTTAATAAGACATTTTTCTTCCACCTTTACAGAAAAAACGCGTAAAAAGCCATCAGGTAACTAATATTATTTAAATAAATTAAAAAAAAATGCGACACTGATTTATTTTTAGAAAAAGATTTGGGTTTCCTCAGAATAGGATCTCTTAATGTAAGGGTTAAGAAAACCACAGAAGCGTTTGGAAACTTTTTGGGAATGGGAAATAGTGGAAATATTGTCCCGTTGGAAACTATGAATGAAAAAGTTCATAAAGGCTGGGGATCCGCTGATAATGTAGCAAAGGTACATAGCCTTAATACAAATTAAAGCTTTATAAAAGTCTTTTTATAATTTAGGAAAATGTTATGGGAGCACCAAAAGGCTACGCAGCAAAGAAAAAATCCAAACGACCTATAGATGCTGGAATGAATAGTACTCCAACTACTCCAAAAACTCCCACCAAAAGTATTAGACATTTCGCAAATGATTCGGATTCAGACACAGCTGCAGGTTTTGATTCAAATTGGAAGAATTAGATTTTAAATACGTATTTTTATCTTAATGACAGGTTATATTTTTAAATATTTATCATGCACATATCAATTCAATTAAGATTAGGCATTTTACTTATTTATATACGTAATGTTTTTTAGATTTTTGTTAAGTTGCTCAAACTTATAATACATCACAATACTTTTACCAATATGATATTTTTGTCGATTGTTTTATTTATGCTATTTATTATTTTAAATGTTTGTGAATTGTTCAGATCTGATTTTAATTTTATGTAAACTGTATTGTTGAAATAAAGTAAATAAAGCACATACCTAATATTATAATGTGTTATTTATTATTGCTTTAAATTTTAATATAAAATAATCACATAGCCAGCAAATAGGTTTTTAGCCTAGGTGGGTAATTGAAGGGGGTTGTTTAAAGAATCATTAAAAGCATTTTATTTTATTAAAGAGCTTTGCGTATAATAATTATTTAAAGAAAAAAAAAGCTGAAATTGTGTTGTTTATTATTTATATATATTTTTTTTAAGATTAATTACGTTACGTGATCAAGAAAATCTTATATATTTGTAAAAAATAATTCAAAATTCAATTACCTACTTAAAAATAAACCATAAATTATAAAAATAAATCAGTCCTAAATCTGTATCTTTACATACTGGTTCAACTAGTTAACTAATTAATTAATCCACATATATCTCATATCAACTTAAAACAATCATATTCTAGTTAAAACATAAAATATTCAGCTTCTGTTACTAAAATGTCAGAATTTTTTTTATGTCCGGTTTTTGTCGAAATTACTCTGTAAATGTTTATTCTTATTCTAATTATTACCATCCTACGGCTGCAGTAAAAAAACTGCCATTTCATAGAGTTTTTTTATTTTGATCAAATATTAAGATATCTATGTAGGTAGTAATAGTACCAACCGGCCCTGACTTCAATCAAATTTAAAATCCAATTCGATACAAAAAATAAAAATGTATTTGATAGGTTTGCCATCTAGTTGAAAACACGGAAAGTAATGTGTTACTGTGCTCGAAATGCGTTGCTTCCAAACTTTATACTTAGGCACCCTCCGCATAGATGGCGCTTAAAAATATAATGGTATCTATAACAATTTTTACTATATTACGCTAGATGTAGGAAAGGTCTCAAATTCAGAGTTTAATAAAATAATAAATAAATAATTTTTTAAATTAGTACACCCAAGTTTTTTTAAGGTATTAAAAACGAGTAGTTACGATAAAAAGTAAAATTATGAATTACTCGAGTAATTTATATTTTTACTTTTTTTTTAAATTTGTTCATAAAATATAATATAATATAATTTTAATAACAAATAACTTATTTTTTATTTTTTAAGAATTGTTTTTAGGCAATTAAAAAAACAAAAGATTTTAATTTTAAATTAAACTAATTATACAGGGTTCCTAGCTCTTATATTTTTATGTGGTTTAATAGTTTAACTGTTTTATTAATTGGATTATTAAATATTGGTGCAAATTTAATACCGCACTTGGTACTTTTTAAGTGTGCCCCCCAGCCTCCTGCCCCCCAAATTAAGATAATTTAAATTAAAGTGGTACAATTTTTAATTCACTGTTTATAGACAAATAAAAAATTTTATTAAAAAATTTACAGGTTTTATACATTTTTAAATTTTTATTATTTCTTTTACTAAATTTAAAAAAAATAGAAATGGTATAAAATCTGTAATACTTAAATTTTTTTAATAAAATTTGAAATTTGTCGATAAACTTTAGTGAATTAAATATTGTACCACTTTAATTTGAATTATCTTAATTTGGGGGGGCACACTTAAAAACTAACTTTTTTTTCGCAAACTTCAATTTGAATTCTGCGCAGAACTTGTCTATATAATGTCATTATAAAATCATATAAATTTGATGTGGGTCCCATGTCTAATAACTGAGATATGGGTGTGCCCAAAATCCACCAGCCGCCACTGGAAATTTTCTTACAATTATAACGTTTATGCTTCTATTTTACATAGGTAATAAATTGTTCGTTATGGAACAGAATGCAGAAATAATTTATATTATTTTACTAAAATATACAAAGAAAAATGTTGTTAAGGTATAATAAAAACAACATTTAGTTAAGTAAATCTTCTAAAGCTATATTGGGTTTGTTATTACAATAATTGTTATCAACTGCGGCTAACTTACTTTCAAACAATTTACCTGAAAAGAAAACAAAGTGTGAAACTCTAGGAGGTCTACATCCTCTTGCCCCCCGCCCCTAAAATTTACGCTCGTGTGTGTGGCTCGTGCAGCCGTTAAATCCATGAAAAATATAAGTATCAACTTCGGTCCTTATATTGTCATAATTGAAAAACGAGAACTGACCAGTGTTCACTTCAGCTGCTTGTTAAAAAGATTTTTTACCGAATAAAAATTACTTAGGTGTTTGCAAAGGCAGTTGCCACACGTTTTATCTTAGAAGCAATAAAAATGTTCAAATATACGTAATGCCGATGAAAACGACCGGTAGGTGGGTACACTTCTTAGAAGTGTGTGCATTATTTTTTTATGATTTGTTTAATGCCCTTAAACTAAATTACTTTAAGTGTAGGTAAATTTTTAAGGTTTAAATGTTTACAAAATTTCAATGCATAAAAAACTAATTAAAATTAGTTTTATTTGCAGCTGTTTTATAAATGATTTATTAAAGATTTGTATTTGCTTCTCTTTTTTCAGGTGGAACACGTGTTAAGACCTATTTTTACACATAGGAGTTTTATGTGACGCGATTCAAGAAAAGGGACCTTGTGTCCAAAAACTCATTTTCGAGATTATCATTACCTTAAGTAGAGTGGTAAACGATCTTTCAAAAGGTCCAGATAGAATTTGTTCATCTAAAAAATTTGCATTGCTATTAATTTTTTAAGTCGAGCGTTACTACACCAGCGCCTATGCCGCGTGAACTCCAATGGCTTCTCCTGTAAAACTTGATTTTGGATACTAGGTCCCTTTTTCGGATCGCGTCATATATTTTATGTTACATTCAGGCCGGTAGCCAGGATTTTTCTGGAGGGGGTTTGAAAATCGTAAAGCAAATAAAATATGTCTTAAACTTTTAACAGTTTAATTATTAGTTTCTAGTAATTATTATTATTAGTACTTTCGTTGCATGAAAAATAAGGATCATGATTATGATCACTCGAGTGAGGTCGCGTCAAAATACAGTTACGGATTCTAACGAAATTTAAAATCAGATTATATAAGAAAGATAAAAATCATGTATGTTATTCGTGTATAATTATTCCAAATTACGTCTGATTTTTGAACATACATAACATGCATATACAAACCCTGAAGGTTTTTTTTTGTTTTGATAAACGTTATTGTAATGTAATGTAGATAGATCAGTTTACAACGTAAGTCATCTTTAAGATTTCTAATGTCACAAAACAAAGCGTTTTTAAGATGTCCTTTTAATGTCATTATTAAGTCGTCTTTAAGATGTTACTTATTGAAAACGTCTTGGTTATGTATTGCTACATCGCCGAAACCTTTTTAAGGTATTAAGTAATTAAAATGTATCTGATAATGCTTTTAAACTTCTAAAAATAACGTATACTTCTATTTAAAATATAAAAAAATTAAATTGTTAATTTTTATTTCTGCCTATTAATTCAAATCAATAGAGTCAAAACTTCTTGGCAAGTAGAACCCTTCTGTCTGAAGTCCTTCTTGAGTGTATTATAGGTGCGTATCAGGGTCAGAGATCAGGGTATCCCTGGAGCTATGAATTATTTTTTCGGAAAACACAAACTCTACAAAAAATCGAAAACCAACACTGCACACTGCTTCGACTTGTCACTTGAGTTGTTGAACGTCGAACGGGAACATGAAAAAGAAAAACCGCCACGATTAGTAATGGCATTCAACCAAATTCAACATACAAGAAGCAAAATTGGCGTCGGATATCTGCAATCTGCATTTATGAGTTATTTAAGAATTGAAAAGAGGCAGACATATCAGCGCTTGGTGAAATAGAAAAGAACAGAAACAATAAGGAGAAAATTTCTCGGGAAACCTTTTTTCTTCCGCATAATTTTCTAGAAGAACTAGTGCGGCTTATTATCTCAGTATTGTTATTTTGATTCCCAGGTGGTGGTGCAAGTGACCTTTCTTTAGGGATAGGAGAAGGAGTACGACAAATCTCCATCTGAATATCATCATTACTTTTCGCAAGTAGACTCTCTAGAGAATCAGGTGGAATTTTCTCATTTAGCACTTTTTCAAGTAGTTTTTCTTTCCTAATTCAAGATCTAGTTTTTCGCTTACTGTCTCTCCAAGTCTTTTTCAACTTTATATTTTCCCGGATAAGTCGGATAAGTCTATAAATGAAGGATCTTTTAATCGCTTAGCCCTTCGATATTCCCTATCTCTTTCTCGTTTCTTTTCTTCTTCACTTAAACCTGCTCTGTGACGACAAACTCTATCTTTAGTTTTTCCTCTAACAGTTTCTGAAGTAACATATTTCTTGTTTTTCTTTTTAGATTTAGGTTTTATTATTTTAGTTTTCTTTCTCGAGTCTTGTTTGTTACAAACAGTTTTAGCTATACATTTATATTTATCACATGATCTTTTATAATTATCAGTATACACGCTGTCTTCAGTCTTTGAATTGCTTCGAGTAAAAGGAACAATATTATTATTCTTAATACACAGAGAAAAGTAATCTCTTTATTTTACTATATTTGGCTTGGCTCAAATAAATTTTTTATTTCGATATCTACAAGCAGGGCCGGCCCGAGGTACGGGCGAACCGGGCAACGGCCCAGAGCGGCATAATGGGGGGCGGCATTTTTACGATTTGTTAATGATAATCAATTTTATTCAACATACTAAAAAAAATTCGATTGGCGATTTTTTCAAGAATTACGATCGATAAATGCAGTTTAGATAACTTACAAATATTTAATAGAGGCGCTCTCGGAAGACGACCCTGGCGCTCTCTTTCATTCGTTTCTTCAATCATATCCTGTAGTTTTCTATAATTTTGTTTGACA